AATATATATATTTTATATTTTGTTTTAAGGATATTTTTACGTTTTTTGGTTATGATTTAATTCTATTTTTCAATTTGCTTCTCATGGGTTTATTTTGGTTCTTATATGCCTGAAGATGGAGTTTAATATGTTATATCTATAAATCCCATTTTTTCTTATGTATCTCCACAAGTTCTGTATGTTTGTTATTATAAAGCTAATATTGTCGCATTCGATGACAACGTCAGGGCTTGAATTGATATTATATTAAGCTTAAAATGTATCACCATAACCATAATTAACAGTGCAATTAACGCCAATAAATAATCCTAACTGATACATACCTGACACTCTTCTTACTATTTTTTTTGTCATAACCTAGATCCACAACTTAAAGTCAATAATAAGTTTAAATGAAGCTAATTCTATTAAATGTCACTTATCCACTTTACAAACACAATGCCAACTTATCGAACTGTATAACAATACCAAGGCAGTATATATTATCCCCTATACATTCTCGTACCATTATTCTTGATTTGATTCATTTATCTTTTCTTCTTTATTTTTATCCTCTTCTATATATATCTAAGAGTTATTTTAAACTTTTTATTGTCTACTTCTAATTATCTAGCAAAGATTTATTGTTATTACTTTATCTTGTACTGTATTTTAATACCTCTATTTTCTACACTGTTTTTTGTAAAGCTGCTGGGAAATTCAATTTCCGGGAGTCATCCCAAAAGGATCAATAAAGAAAAATCTAAGTCTAATCAAGGGCGTGGCTGATTTGAGTGACAGGCAAACTACATAAATATACACAAATATTTATCTTTTGTTCATTTTTCTTGTAAACTACGTCAAAAAATGCACTAAGACGTGAGTCATTTACTGATATAATCTACCTACTAGCTAATGTTGGAGTGAATATGCACATAAATTATGATGCCAGAAAAGAAAAGGAAGAAGAACAAGATGAAGCTGGCAAGAGTTTAAATAATAACGCAGCTCATAAAGCTGCTCCACCACCACCACATTACAACATAAGACATAAGACAGGACACAGGACTTTTCTTTTAGGGGCCCGTAAGATGCATTTAATCACACTCCGTTCCCCTCCGCTTCCACAGCGACACTTAAACTCAGTTTGTGACTGTACATTTAAAAACAAAGGACAGGATTAGAGCTTTTAATAACTTTAATACACATTCTTTGATCCCAGAATCTTCTATAACGCCTCACAAGACAAATATGTCTTTTAAAAACTTAAATTATAAAGAAAAAAAGTTCACATTTTCAGTCCATTTTAAAGCCCCTCGCTTTAGTTTTACTCATGCCTCATGATCCCGTGTTATTATTGCAGAACGAACATTAAATCCAAAACATACCTCATATATAAAGATGAAGGATTTTAAAGTATTGCGTGTGGTTAAGTATTGCTTGTTTTTACATATCATTTGTGCCGTATCATGCAAGATGCTACACAGATAAACCCCACTGTGCGTGTCCTCCGTAGCTTTACAACATCCACTCTCATCCAGAGAATAATTCAGTAGATGCACATGCATTTTCACATTAGTAAAGTATTCGATATAATACCTAAATAAATAAAAAAAAGAACTGGCTTAAGATATGTGGCTGAAGCACTCACATGACACTAAGATCGGCATTATCACATTTCATTCACATGTTAAGAGCATAAAAATAGATTAATCATTTAATTAGTTGCCTCCCTTTAAACATCAGGTGGAACAGCAGACCTTTAGTTACATGGCTTAAACATTTTTGCAGTCTTTCTTTTGTTTGGCACACGTTGATAAATGCTCAGAAAACCTTTCGCCCGGACTTTGGCGCGTCTACTTGGCGCTGAGATCCACCACCAGGTGCTGGTAGGCCAGCGTGTTGCCCTTGAAGCTGGCTGCCAGCAGGATGTCCTTGTTGTCGACAGAAACCAAGCTGAACGCCCGCGGGGCCCTCATGTTGAGCTCCTGGAAGGGCTGAAAGCGCTGGGTGAGGTCGTCCCACAGGTACACTCTGGAGAAAGAGAAATCGCTACCGAGAATGAGGTACTGGCGGAGGCCCACCGTGAAGGGATACACCGCCATCGAGCCCCGGGAGGGAAGAGTCTGGATCTCTATGAAGCGCTGGCCTTCCCAGCGGAGGATCTTGGAGTCGCCGATGAAGCGCGTGAGGCAAAGGTAGAGGACCTTCCTCACCCAGAAGTGCTTGACCATCTGCACGTCTGCCAGCTCGGTGATCTGGGAGAAGAAGACGAACTGCCGCTGGCTTCGGTTCCACTGGTAAACCACCGGTGGTTGGGAGGCGCTGGAGAGGATGAGGTGAGGCTTTCCCGCGACATCGAGGAACTCCACGTGGGTGTCCCGATGCCAGGGATGGAGGGACTGATGGGAGTAGAAACCGTTGCTGTTCCAGCGGTAAATGCTGGTGGAGCCGGCCTTGGAGCTGTCTGCCACCACGAAGTACCACTCCTCATCCAACTGGAAGGTATCCACGAAGTTGGGCTTCCTCACACGGGTGGTGTCGATGTCTTGGATCTTGACAAAGCGCTGCGGGTCCTCTTCCCACCTGTGGTTAGCACAAAAGGTTCTTAGAGCGTTCACAAAAGATTTACACAAAAAAAGGAATAGTTTGGGAGATATGTTTGTTTAATTTGTTGCTGAGATGAACTCTTAAGAAGTGAAGCTGAATTTGAGCTTCAGTGAGACTGTTGTCGACAGACTTTGCAGCAGTTTAAACTTGAATTGTTTTTATTAAACATGTTTGACAATGTCCTTATTAATGTGTAATTTCAAACACCTTATGTCTTTTATCTTAGCAAAGAAATGTTAATTTTATTTTCTGTTTTACAACAACAGTAAGAAAGTTTTAAGAGAAAATGTAACACCATAAAAGTGTGTTTTTATTTGTTTATTTATTTAAGTTAAATTCAAATAAAGGATATAAAAAGGACAATAGATAATGTGTTAGATGGAGAGAGAAAACAGTCCCAAAGGGGCGATAGAACTCCTTATTGTTACTGTTGGGGAGGGACCAAAAGAAACGACTCCTGGTGCTTTCTACCTGATTTGCCTCCATACTAAAAAAA